AATTATCATGCTTACAAGCCTAAGCCTAATTATTACAATCATAATAAACATGTTTGCAATAGTAACTATTGCAATAGAATTTAATTTAATTATGTTAGATTTTCCTCACAATTTTTTATTATTACGGACTCATTAATTATTTTTATTTACTTAAAGTAATTTACTTTTAATACATAGGTTACAATGTTACTTTAATGCCAACTTGGTTAATTTGGAATTGTACTATTTTCTTCTCATCATGCAAACTTAAAATTATTGTTGCTTTCCCTAGATATATTTTTGTGTTACTTAAAATGCATACAAATTGTATATGACAAAAAAATTAAATTTATTATTAAAAAATAATCAGCAAATTTAAAGAAATGTTTAATAATATTGAAAGAAAACACCTCGGAAAACACTGTTTAAAATATATAAAAAAAATTGTTATTATAAAAAATTTTTCATCCCTAATCTTAAAATACCCATACCTCGAATTTGAAATATGGATGATTTTTTATGAAATATTTTACTCATGCATTGTTATAACAATTTAACAGGTACTTACTAAATTATTAAGTGGAAATACCACGTTGCTATGACAATGGTTTGTTTGTAATACAAACAAATCATACTCTTTGTATCATAAAGTAAAAACGTCAAATCCAGTTTTTTTTACATTTTTGGACAAATGAATCGTTTTGGTAATATTTAAAAACAAACACGGTGAAAAGTAAAAATAATAAATCTTTTAATATAGTTAATTGGTTATAATATATAATTTTTAGCATTACATCCGATTATTTTTGACGTTTTTAAGAACCAGTAGAAACTTTTAATTTCAGTCATGTGTGTACGTTTAATCCAATCAAAACATTAGATATATCTAGTGAAAATAATGTACTTATATTATCGCCGGGACAATACAATTCATTATAATTAGAATCAATAAAATGCCAGTATTCCATGGTTACGCATTTTATCACAGCGACAATATTTTTTATCACCTTGTTTCACGTTGCTAAGGATTTTGACACTTTTCTTGATTTGACATTTGTTGACATTTAAATACTGTATTTTTTGTTTTGCATGCGTTCCACCAACTTCAAATGCCGTCAGACAGCTGTTTCGACCTATATTGGGTCTCATCAGTGTCGGGCAACTTGGTGTAGTGGAACACAATTAAAACAAAGGACTCCCTGAGCTTATATGCTCGGTTGTTAAGTCAACATAGGCGAGATGTAAGAACATCAGGTGATCCACACCGTCAAACGACGTGGCCTTAAAAGATCGATGGGTTGGTGTAAACGATAATAAAATTAAGGTAAGTTTGATAAATAAGGTTTATAAAAGTCTTTTATAAAAGCACATTTTAATTTCAAATGTCAAACTGATAATTCGTTTTATCCTAAAATTCATTATATTTTCTCACTAAATATAACTCGTGGTATGATTAATTATCGATGATTATCATACCACTTGTTATACTCGTATTATGGCTGACAATACAATTCATTATAATTAGAACCAATAAAATGTCAGTATTCCATAGTTACGCATTTTATCACAGCGACAATATTTTTTATCACCTTGTTTACACGTTGCTAAGGATTTTGAGTCAAAATTTTTGACACTTTTCTTGATTTGACATTTGTTGACATTTAAATACTGTGTTTGTTAAATGATTAAAATAATGAATTATAAACTCTAAAAGATCGATGGGTTGGTGTAAACGATAATAAAATTAAGGTAAGTTTGAATAAATAAGGTTTATTAAAGTCTTTTTATATTTTAAAGCACATTTTAATTTCAAATGTCAAACTGACAATTCTTTAAATCCTAAAATTCATTATATTTTCTCACTAAATATAACTCGTGGTATGATTAATTACACGGTTTTGGACCTGAGCAACCAAAAGTTGTTTTTAATTACGGGATACACTTTAAAATGATTTAATTTAATTTTTTATAGAAACTGGTTATAGTTTTTAATAAATATATGTTTTGAATATCAGAAACAGGCATTTTTTCTAAATTGGAGAACCAAACACTTCCTCATCTCTTAAAAATGACCATTCAAAATAAAAAAATAAAAATATTGTAAGTTTCCGATGAGGTGGAATTTCAATGAAAGTGATTTTGACGAGACCAAACGTTCCCGAAAAATACCCCATAAACAGTTTTTGAGTACATTCTTGAAAGACCTATTCACTCTTGAGGACCCCTGTGTATATTATGGGTGAGAATAATTTTAAGTATTTTTTAAAATTTAAATTTATTGTCGTGGCATTGTTGGGTCATTTTTGTTACGTCAAAAAATAATCCAACAAAGATCTATAAATTGAAAATAATTCTCCAGATTTTTTTTAAATCTGTTGCCATTTGATCCTTCTGGCTCTTTTTATATTATTAATAATAATTATTAATTATATTTTTTAACTTTGACAAAGCCCTTGTAAAATAAATATTTATTTTTCAATTTATATGAAAGTGTTCAAATGAAAAAATGTTTTTACTTTGTAAATGTAAATTTTGTTATATGTATATAAAAATTATAATATTAAACTTTTTTAACCCTTTAATTAATTTAATTTTTTATTAAGATTAAAGCAATGTTATTATAGCCATGGTATTATTATTTACTTTTTTCAATTTTAATTATTTATAGAGTGTGCGTATACAGTGTGCGTATATTTTAACCATTATTTTGGAACGCATTGACCGATTTTAATATTTTTTTGGGGAAAATTAAAAAAAAATTGCAATGCCTGCTAAGATCTGCTCAATAGGTCGAAATTTAGAGATCGACCACCAGGATTTTGAAAATCAAGCACTACCTATGTCCAAAAAATTGACTAAAAAAATTAGATTAAAATTTATTTATACAGAGTGTCCCGAAATTGGGGCCAAAATTAAACAGTTCAATCTGCATAGAAAAAAACTGGGTTGTACAACTTGTTTCAAAAAATGGACCCTAACGAAGATACGGCCCACCGAAATAAATTAATTTTTAAAACTAATTTTGACTTTCTGAATCTAGATGAAAAATCAAAACTGTCCAAATTAAATCATAGGCGTTAAATTTGGGGGGGGGGGGATGATGGGGCAAAAACAACCCCAAGTTTTTTCAAGGTTGATATATTTTTTTCCTGAAATTATAAAATTCGTTCGATGCAACACTATTTTCGAGTAAAATGCATTCATAAATTACTTTGTTTAGCAAATCCATTTAATATTTTTATTAAATATAAGTAACAAGTTGCGAGTACCTCTTTTTAGTACAATGATATAAATTTTCATAATTTTGAAAAAAAAACATTAACCCAGAAAAAGTGAAGGGCGTTTTTGTACCTCTACCCCCCCCAAATGGTACGTCTATGATTAAATTTTGCAGTATTTATTTTAGTTCTAGTTTCACCATATTAAAATTACCAGAGTATTAAAAAAATATGTTTTTATGTTTCAGGGAAAAAATCATCATATTTGAGTATGCCTCTTAATTTCGGGATACCCTGTATAGTATTAAAAAAATGTTTCTTCTAGTTTGGTTTTATGTATGTATGTAAGATTTGCCAAATAATTTGCAAAGAAAATAGTAAAACAATGTGTTTTAAATTTTTGGAATAGGTATGGTATATACACTCACAGGCAAAATAATCGATCCACACAAATTTTCGATGAATTTCAATCACAAATAACTTTTTTATTTGATTTTGGATTTAAACAAATATTAAAGAATATTTTAGTTACATTAATGGAGAATCTCTCACATTTTAAAAATTACTAAAAAATACACGTACGTTTACAATATACAGGGTTAAACAAAAAGATGTTTTTTACCATAAGTTTAAGACACTCTGTAGAGTGGCAAAACCGTATATTGTTCTAAATTAAGTTTTAATTATTAAGTCTATTTTAAACAGTTTTGTTTTTGGTTCACCTTGATATATTTATTTTTGTGGAAAATATGGATATTAAAAAAAAACATTGCAATTTCCAATATTTTTCCTGTATGAAGAACTAAGGTTGCTATGGTCCATCCATAGCCTATGGAGGATGGCAGTGACAGTTTTGTTGAATCATCTCATACTTGGACATGTCATATACAGCTTTCAAAAGCTATCAAATTTTTTTTTGTAAATTAATGTGTTAATTTTGAGGTGTCTTCTTACTTATAAAAATGTCTCCGACTGATTTTGCCCTTTGTACTTTACTTCTTGTGACGTTTAAAACTCTTGACACGTATTACTGTGACCGTCCATCCTGGATTAAATTAATGGCTCTGGCAACATCATTTGGAGACATATCCATTTTTTAAAGTAAGAAGACATCTCAAAATTAAAACATTAATTTGCAAAAAACAATTTAATAGCTTTTGAAAGCCTTGTATAACATGTTCAAGTATGGGATGATTTAACAAAAACTGTCACTGTCATTCTCCATAGCCTATGGATGGACCATAGCAACATTAGTTCTTTATAAAGAAAAATATTGGAAATTGCAATGTTTTTTTAAAAAATCCATATTTTCCACAAAAATAAATATATCGAGGTGAACCAAAAACAAAACTGTTAAGAATAGATGTGACTTGATAAATAAAACTTAGAACAATATACGGTTTTGCCACTCTACAGAGTGTCTTAAACTTATGGTAAAAAACATCTTTTTGTTTAAACCTGTATGTTATAAACGTACGTCTATTTTTATTATTTTTTTAAATGTGAGCGATTGTCCATTAATTTATCTACAATATTCTTTAATATTCGTTTAAATCCGACATCAAATAAAAAAGTGTGGATCGATTATTTTACCTGTGAGTGTATCAAGATAAATAAAAGTAACTTAAAAGTAATTTTAGTAAAAAAAATTAAGAACTGTAAGATGATCCAGTATTTAATTAAAAACGCATATTTAGAAGGCGCGATAATAAAATAGCAAACACCTTACGCACGCAATATAGAGTGAAAAACGCGAGCTCCAAGAGCAAGGTGAAGGTTGCACACCGCGATCACTCAACTCACCTGCAACGATCCAACAGACATGTCTCTTAGCGTAAGTACAACAAGCACTAGGAAAGAACTATCACTAACTACTACCGATCTCGAAGCATGCACAGAAGACACTGGACTCTCTGCACCAGCAGCCGTCACCTTCCACCGGTAATGAGATGTACTCTCTTCGACTGATCTCTTTTAGAAATGTATCAGAATTCCATCTTGTGCCTTTGCACAAGCGAGTCCTTTCACCTGCCCTGCCCATTTTAACGGCTTCGCTTCCAAAACGCGAGCGAATTGATAAAGCACAGCCACGTTCGCTTTTTGACAGTTTATGGAGATTCGCGTAATTAATTTTTAAGACACGTGATTTGTGGCTACTTTGTTATGTAATGGAATTAAAACTAGCAAGCTTTTAAAACACAAGGGTCTACTATTAAAACGCATGGCACTTTTGGGTTTTAATGAGTTGATAACACCATTAACAAATTTGGATTTGAAAAATATATGATAAGATATATGATCTAAATTTCTGTGGGTAAAAGGCATAAGGGGATAAGTCAAAAAAAGCAATTTTTCAATAGAGCCTTTAACGTGTTCGCATTTATTCAGGAAATATATTTATGTTTAGCGGGTATACGCTTTTGTTAGCATATGACATGTGCTAACAAAAGGGTATACACGCTAACCATAAATATATTTCCTGAATTAATGCGAATACGTTTAAGGTTGTACTGAAAAATTGATCATTTTGACTTATCCCCTTATGCCTTTGGCCCACAGATTTGTCCTATTTTATACTTTCACTAAAATGTATTATTAATAATTTAGGAATAGTATATTCTGTAACAAGTTTGGAATACTGCATATTCCGCTCGAGTGAAAAGTTTGTCATACGAGCCGATGGCGAGTTTGACGGTTTCACGAGAGGAGAATATGCAATTCCAAACGTGTTTCAGACTATACTTTTTCTACGTTTCCAAAAAATAACATAGACAAATAATTTAATTGGAAGAAAGTGAGGTTGGATCGGTCTAAAATTTGTTAGATATTAAAAACAGAGATGTCGCCACGAGTGTTTATTCTGTCATCAGATGATAGAATATTTTATTCCGTAACACTTTACGGAATATATGTCATTCCATAGATAAAAGTGATATTAGAACGGTCATATTCCATAATAGGAGTAGAAACAATATTTTCTTGATTTTTATATGGAATTCGACATATTCCTAAAAGATTAATTTGTTATTTAAGTTTGTATTTGTTTTATATATGTATTTTTAAAACAAATCAAATAATTTGAAGACCTATGTATAATAACTTATCATAAATAGGTCTTCAAATTATTTGTTTAGTTTTAAAAATACATATATAAAACAAATACAAACTTAAATAACAAAGTAAACTTTTAGGAAAATATTGAATTCCATATAAAAATAAAGAAAATATTTTCCTAAATTATTAATAATACATTTTCGTGATAGTACAGGGTGGACCATAAAGGTTGGCCGTTATAAAATACCTTCCTTTGCGAAAAGATACAAGACATTGCCTTCTTTCCATCTCTACATCTAATTTAATAAAAATGACCGCTAGCCATCCAGAATATTCTTAGTATTCTACTTTCTTTTACAGACATTGTTTATTTTTATTTACTTATAATTATAACAAAAAAACTAAACATCTCAGCGAAAATATTTTTATCTCCACGCGGTCTATAATTTAAACTTTATTGTTGTCAACATTCGATAAAGAAATAACTTGTTATGGCCTAGGCCGATAAAAATTTTTATGAGGCAAGTAATTAGTTCGGTTTTTTCTCGCTAGGGGTATTGTTTTGACAAATTAATCCTTTTCTAAGAAATTAACGTACTAAACTGGTTAAATTTATTTGTAAAAAGCACTAATTTGTTTGTTTTACTGTTAATGTTTAATATTTTTCATTAAATTATTGTAAAATTAAATATGAATAATAAAACAAAAAGTGAGGTTAGGCAACCAAGAAAACGCACGATTCTTTTTCTACGATTTAAATTATCTTTAAGTTTTTATTTGCTTTAAGTTTTCAGTGAAATTAAATGTTAAACACAGCTTAAACATTCTAACCTACCTATTTTTTAAATAAAAATCCAAACAAATTGAAATTAGATACCAACCTATTTATTAAAGAATTAATTGAATTTAATGTAATAGCAAAAATCCATTTCTACTTAAATCATGTAGCTAGGTATTGTCAAACTATTACTGCTTCTAAAAGCAATAATATTTATTGTACATTTAATGTAATCTTTAACTAATAAATAAATGAGATTCTAAAAAAGTGAGGTTAGACCGCTTTGATGTTGAATTAAATTGACCTATATATAGTGCTTTGAAGATAAAATGTTGTATGCCATTCGGCCAAGAAATGCCTTTTTGTGCTTCGCTTTTTGTGCTTCACTCAATTGCTTAACCTTGAGCTTAGCACAAAAAGCCTTACTTCTTAACCTAATGACATAAATAACTATTAATTTATATTCAAGTAAACATTCTGAAAATTTTTTTTTTTAATAACATCATCCAGATGTGCACCATCGCGTTGCAAACACTCTTCAAATCTGGGTCTTAAATTTGTGAAGCTGGCACGTTTCAACTGCAGCCATTTTCTCTTAAATGTTCTGTTTTAATTGGATTACTGTTTCTGGTTTGTTGATGTAAATCTGACTTTTTAAATACCTTTAAATAAGAAAGTCGGGAGGCGTTGGGTCAGGACTCCTAGGAGTGAAAATGGGCTTCGTCCGAAAAGAAAAGTTATCCAAATTGGCAAAACGTTCCAACATGTTTTCGACAATAACACGCCGTAAGTTAAGATCATTTGATTTTTGTTCCTGCACAAATTGAAGTTTATAAAGGTGCAAGTTAAGGTGTTTTTTTTAAATACGCCTTAAAGTCGTTCGTGACATTGCTAGTTCCGTTGATCTATTGCGAGTTGATGTTCCAGGATCCTGGCGCACAAAAACCGTAACTTGGTTTATTTGTTCCTCCTCTAACTGACCTTGGGCGCCCCGAAGGGTTTTGATTTAGGGTAGAACCTGTAGCCTCGAATTTTCTGACCCAACACCTAATCGAATTTGGACTGGGACACTGATTTAAGTTATGTAAGCCGAATGGAACACGAAATAAACGTCTTATAATAGTGCAAGAATCGACATTTTTGTAATATTGTTTAACCCTCCGTTGGTCGCGCACGGTGTCAGAGACCGGGTCAAAATAAATTCAAACATATTTTTTTAACAGCGGGAGTGGGGGATCTCGGGGTTTGTCTAGCTTCATAATTTGATGTGCGTTCTTTTCTTTAAGTTAAAGTATCATATGCTTAATTTTATGTTAAATGGCTTAAACATATGCTTTTTAAAATAAAAAAAATCTAATTCTCATTTAAAAACCCATAAATATTACATGATTTTATAATACCTAACAAAAAAAACATTTTTGTTAATAATACATTTTTTTAAATTACCCGGTCTAGGAGACCAGCGCGACCACTTATGTCCTAAATGGAAATGCGACCAACCGAGGGTTAACGCGAGTTGTTCTCCCGTAAAAAATCTATCGTACTGAAATTCCAATGATCTAATTACAAATCCCAACCAAGCGCGTGCCGTTCATGCATATAGTTTCTGCGCAAAAGCTATTCTAAATTGGTCAATCTTTATGGCCCACCCTGTATAAAATAGGACAAATTTAGATCAATCATATATTTTTTTATATCCAAATTTGTTATCAACTCTTTAAAACCCAGAAGTGCCATGTTTTTGTAATAGCAGACCCTTAGATTTTAAAAGCTTGCTAATTTTAATTCCATTAAAAAATTATATAATTTATGGTATTATAATAATTTTACAAAATAAATTCGTCAGTTATTTAAATAATAAAAATCTTGTTGAATAAAATTTTATACAAGGATAAATTAAATAATTTTATTTACTCCTAAATTGACGACGATGGATTTTAAGTCACGGGTTGAAGTTAACAACAGGGGCTTTTGGACATTTAATTCACGGGATGAAGTTAGCTTTATAATGAATTGCGAAAAAGTGAGGTTAATGTCGTCAAATGTCAAATATTTATAAATTCAAATTGGATTTAGTCACGGGCTTAAGTTAACAACAGCGGCTTTTAGGCATGTTAGGCACGGGCTGAAGTAAGCTTTATTATAAATTGCGAAAAAATGAGAATAAATTCGTCTGATGTCAAATATTTATTAATTATTTGGCTTTAAATCCCTATTTCTGTTCGTCGTAGATAATAGTATATTATGTATCAAGTTTTATAAATGCCATTTTAGTTACGAGTTTAATTAAGCACGAGCGAAGCTTGCGAGCGAGTGTTTAATAAAAACGAGTGTCTAGAGAAGTTTATAAACGAGTTGCATACTATACTTTAACTACGACAAACACAAAACAGAATTTAAAGCCAATTTTATTTGTTAAAATTTTGACATCTGTCAACTGTCACCCGAATTTAACCTCACTTTTTCCGAATTTATAATAAAGCTAACTTCAGCCTGTGACGTAAAATGTCGACAAGCCACTGTTGTTAACTTCAGCCCGTCAATAAAACGCCATAAAGTTACAGCTCGTCAATGTAGGAGTAGATAAAATATATTATGCAACTCGTTTTATAAACTTCTCTAGACACTCGCTCGCAACCTTCGCTAGTGACTAATAAAACTTGAAACTAAAATATTACCACCTAAACGTTGCTTTATGGTACTTATTTTCGAAGAGTACCTACGTACCCAATTAAAGAGTTTTCTTGACTAAAACAAGAACCTATTTTAATAAATTTTGCAACCTAAAATCTTATCTCTACATATTAGTAAAAATAAAAACAAATTATACCAAAATATATAATATATGTATATATAAAAAACTATTAAAATTTAAGAGCTTTTTAATGTCATAATATAAATAAAGTTGTTAAAAGTTTTTTGAGTTTAAATTAAAAAGGGCGATCAAAACAATTGGATAAAAGTAAACAAAACATTAAAATAAAAGACTATAATTTACTCCTGCCTTGTAATAAAAATACTAACCGCATTTTCGTTCTTATCTTAACCAAAATTGATATTTAATACCTGCATTCCTACTAGACACTATAAAAGTTTTTTAGTGTATTATAAATACCTAATAAATAAAGATTTCGTCGTTAATACCTATTTATTGGAAGCCAATTTAAATTTTGATTAAGCTTGCGTA